TATTAAGTATTTTGAGCATCCTAATTTAAAAGCCTAAATATTTTTTTATTGGACTTTACTAATATATTCCAAAAAGATATTTGGTTCCTAGAAGTTCAAGTACCCAAAAGTATAAGCTTTTGTCATTCCACTTACTTCAATTTTAAAAGAAGGTAATGATATTTTTAACCTGATAAACCCTGAAAAAACCTAAAGAAAAAGTGGCGTGTTTATGAAAGTTGTCATTTCGATTTGATGACTATTGTCGAACATTATCTACCATAATTCATAAAGGAATGGAGTGGCGGACCAGGACGAAAGATGGATGAAGATGAATGGGCCATAAGAACATCTCATTAGGCTGAGTGAAAAATAGACCGACCTTCCCGGCAAGTAAATCTACTCGAAACGAATCGAAACGAAAAGGAATCGAGAGTGGAGTGGAGTGAAGTGGAGTAAAATAGGATCCTGAGTTTGTCGCCACTTTTGTTTGGACTCTAATGAAATACGCATTATTTGGCCACCGTCTGCTGGGAGGGCGGGGTGAATTTAATATCTCGGATACAAGCAGGAGCCTTCCCTCGAATCCCGATGTCCTTGTCGTGGTCGTCGCCTGTCATCCGCAAACGATGCCATTCATTTTAAGTCACATGTGTCATATGGGCAGAAACATCCTGGGAAGCCCCATTTCGAAGGACATTGTATTGCGGTCGCCTGTCCCAGTCCCTGTCCCCTTTTGGCTTAAGTGTTTATTAATATCGACTCGTGCGAACCCGGACATGTGTTGGCCCCAAATTGACTTTGCCCGTAACTGATAAGGTCCCATTTTCCATTCGACATTCGCCATTCGCCTTGGCCGCAGATTGTAGTTATTGTAACAAGCCATTTGTGATTGTTATCGAGCTTTTGCGAAGACAACAGCTGGTCACACTACAAACGCACGTATCCGAGCGAGGATTCAAAAGAAGTCCTTGCAGACAGCCAGTCCTTTGTGCTCAGTGCTCCACCACTCCGTTCCATTCCATTCGATAGAATTCGATTCGATAGAGAGCGGGGGATTACAATTGCCAACTGTATTTGTGTGCCGAACCTCGTGAAACGGCAATTATGAACTCGAGCGCCCCTCTCCGCGCTTCTCACAATCCCAAAGGAGGTCACGGGGTCAGCAGCTGGCGAGAAGTTCACAATGAGGAAGGCAGGAAGGGGAAAAGTTCGCCCTCAATGGCTCTTCAATTATTGTAATCTATTTTAAGGGCTCTTCTATCAATATTTTCAATGCGCTTTGGGAACGAGTTCTCAGTTCTTAGCAGCTCTTCTGCATCGCTTGTTTCCTTCCCTCTGCCCATTTCCACCATTTCTTGTCCTTGCCAAAAATTCCCTTACTTAAGTTTCGAACTAACCTGGCCCAAAGTACAAATATTATACTGCAGGATGCTTTCAGGCCTTGGCAACACACATACACACACACAGACACAGATACCAACAACCGTTCCGCTGGGTAATGTCTTTATATTTGAAATTGCTTTGCTATTAAAACAAAATAAACGACGCGACGCGCAACTTATAAATTTTGTTTGAAAATCAAGTGAAATAAATGCAGTGGCAGAAGTAAGGCGCTTTTTCTTTTCTTTCGCCTTTTCTTTTTCCTTTTTTTTGTTGTTTTCGGGGAAAATCTGGACCGGAGTGGAAAAACAGAGTGGTGGGGGAAAAACACAAAGCGCAAGACAAACACGAGATATGTGTATGTGCCCGGGGTAGGAAAATCTTAAAAAACCCAAAAAAAAGGATGAGGAGTTGGGGCAATAAATTTAACTTTTAGCCGGGTGAATGTGTATGTGTGAGTGAGCACAAGCACACACACACACCCTGAAACACATGACCATAAATAGCAGTGCAAGGAAAACCTTTTCTTTCGCAGTTGCGACTTTTAATTTTATTGCCAGGGTGGAAAGCACACACACAAATATGTTGGCCAATTGTCTGTTTGGGGTCAGCTAATAATTGGAAGACAACTCCTCTTCATATACAATATACCACATACCATCTACCACTGGCGCCCGAGTAGGTTTTTGGGTAAATAATTGCCTGCCCGCATAAGTATGCTACAGAAGATTTACAACTATACATTCGATTCCCCGATTCGATTCCAATTGATTTCGGTGTCTTAATGAAAATATGTCAACTCAGTCAGGCAGCCACTTTTCATTTTAATTTCAACATTAATTTTCAATTCAATTTCGCTGCTCATTGTCATCAATTGAAGGCAGCAGCTTGATTTTGTCATTGATGAATGTGAATGTTGAATGGTAAATGCTGGGCAAAAAACTTTCTCATTTATTTCCTGTTCGTTCACGTTTGATTTTTATTTATTGCGTATTTTTCTAAGGATTTGACTTCTAAGGTTGCCTTTTAATAACTGAAAACTCGCATAATTTCAATCGCCCACCCTCGAAAAGTTTCCCTCAAGCTGATTAGCCTCCTTTGCGGTGGCAAAAGTCCCCTCTGCTCCTCTCTTTTTGTTGGCATTTGATTTGTGTGTGCGTTATGTAAATTCATTAAGCCGCCGCCTAAGCTTTTGGGGCTTAGTAGCCCACCTGCCATCGCCATCCGACCACCCAGCACCACCCACAAAAGGCCAAAACAAACAAATTGATAGCCAGACTTTTGCTCAGTCGACTTTTGGCTTGCACTCACAATGCCGTGGAAAGTTTTCATTATGCATGTGCGCCAAAAACTTGGCAAACAAAGGCGTAGTCGAGGGGGGGGCGGTTGAGTTTTGGTGGGCTAAGAAGTGGTTTTTGGGGCGAGCTCAGGGGGGTTTAGTGAAACTTTCCCGTAGGAAGCTTTGGCATAATTAAAATGTTTATGCGTTTAATTGCAAATGAATTCGAGGCGAAAGTTGCCAGTTGCAGTTGTGAGAAGACACACACACACACGCACACTCTCAATGACAATTGGTGTATCAAATTTCCCCACCGAATGGCAAATGGAAAAGGATAATTGCTTTGGGCTCGCTCAAACGGAAAATTGTCTTTAAAATTTAATCAACTCGTTGAGTTCGAGTTCTGCAAAATACCAAGTTCGAAACCGTAAACCAAATGGCAGCCTGCTTTAATTTATGTCTCGCTACTTATGACATCACTGCTCGAAGGACCAAGGACCAAGTTAGTCGAGTGGCTAGCCGCAGGACGCAGGAGCCACTTGCCCACTGGCCAGGACATTAAACAGCTTCATTACCTGCAAATTTCTAAATCAAATACGAGGAAAAACCACAGGCTGAGCTCACCAAAAACTGGTCACATCTCAGGCATCACAGGGATATGAGAACTGAGAACCGACAACTTAGAACCGAGAAGCCTGGCAATTGATTAGCCAACAGCAGTGACAATTTGCGGGCTGGTTGGGTTCTTGGTACTCAGTTCTCGGTTTTAGGTTCTCGGTTCTGATTTCTGATTTCTGGCCCAAATGAACATATGACCAATGCAGAAGTATAAACGATGATTGTCCCCGAAATTTGCTGACAGGACGAAAATGTTGCGGTTAATGCCTGGTGGAGGTCCTTCAGTCGGGATATTGAAGAGTTGGGTGGTTGGGATAGCATGGTTGGCAGTAGGGGCATTAACTTGGCCAACAGCACTTGCTTAGTTGCCAGGGAAACATTGTGGTTGTCTGGATGGCGAGGTTATAAAACGACTGTATCCCAACTGGGATCCTTTCGTTGCCTTTCCTTCCTTTGCTAGTAGGAAAGCTCATTAAACCGTTTCCATCTGTTTTCCGATTTGTTTATTATATCAATGGGAGTTTTTGTGAACTGGAAGGTTTCCAAAACATTGTTGGGGCGTTTGAAATAGGAGTTATATAGGGAATTTTTGGTTTTATTTTACTGACGAGCTTAAAAATTAATGTTTCTATATTTATTATTTGATTTCTGAGGGAGGTTATATACAAATATTGAAATATATAAATATTTATTTGGCATACCCTTAGAAATAAAAAAAATACTAAAGTAAATTATTGTTATTTCTTATTTATACTATTTTATTATTATTATATTTGTTCACTTTAATATTTCTTTATTTACTACTTGAAATTTAATTTTCATTTTATTATAACTATTTTTTGCGGCTGAGTAAGTAGTACTTAGTACTACTTAGCTCTCCTTCAGCAGGCGTCCTTCTGCCCCCTCGAAGACGACTCCTTTTATCCTTGTCCCAGGAGTCGCAAGGAGCAAGAGCCTCTTCTGCTCACTTACTGTTTTACATTTGAATGGCTCGGCAGGTCTCCAATCAGTCTCGCCTGGAGGCATTCTTCTAGTTCATTTAATGCAATTTGCTGTCATCGTCACCCAATGGACTCTCCCCGCCACTCCCACCTCCCTCTTTGCTCCAGAGTCCCTGAGTCCTCCTGAGTCAGCGATAGGATCTCTGTATTGTATTGTCCTGCGCTCCCAGGTGGCTGTATCCTCAGTTCCCACCCCTCCCCAGTCGCTGTTATCTTTCAGCTGCAACAAGCCAAACAACAAAGCCACCAGAAACAACAACACAGACAAGGATATTTAAGTGTGTATACAATGTATAAGTAAAGTGCGTTTATGTGTGTGCTTTCGGGGGACAGAAAACACCTACAACCTGCCCCACAAAAAAAAAGGAAAAATGATAAAGAAAACGTCTTGAAATGAATTCATCCCCGGGGACTCTCTCGACAGCGCCAGAAATTTGTTTACGGCTTTTTCTTTTCCTTCTTCGAGGGGGCAAAAGAATAATTATATCCCTGGTCGGTTCATCTGATGACACACAAATAGCCGAAAGTTAATGAAAGGCGAGACGCCTGTTTCTATTCCATATTCCGAATGCTGTGCAAATAAAACACTGGCGAAATAAAATATGTAAATATCATTTGCAAGACCTTTAATGTTTTAAGTTTCTAATGAGAGTTCCTCAACCCCTGGAATAAAAAATATTTGAAAAAAAAACCTGATGTGGCAAATATTTGATTTCTCTTTTTTCATCCTCCATTTGCAGGCGGAAAGAGCGAGAAGCGAAAAGCCAGCCCCAAGGCAACTGCAGCTGGAATTAACACAAAAGGTAAATTTGGCCTCGAAACTTTCGTCTTTCGTTTCGTTTCGTTTGGTGGTGTGGCCACCTTGGCATTAGCAGCCCGGGCACTCAAAGCCCCACAAAACTGTCGTGCACTTCAGCGATGCTCCAACTAAGCCACTTATTTTAGTTGGCCAAGAAGTGGGCGAGGGTCTTTTGGTTTCGGCCACAAATCGAAGGCAAAATACCCTAGGATAGCTAATAATTATTATTAGGTGTATAAGGTATTTATATTTTATTTTTATTAAATATTTTATTTCAGTGCTACAAGCAAGTATACATTAAAAAACATTTTTTTTTTATTATTTAAATTTTTAAAAAATTGTTTAAGGAATTTCCAGACTTTTGTTTCCATTATCACTGCTTAGCATAAGCCTAAACTAAAGCTAGAATTAATGTTAAAAATTTGGAGACTGTAGCTTTAATGTTTTCGGCTCTGCCTTCAACCTCTTTGTTTTAAGCGGCGCTTTTTATATATTAAGATGATATTTCAGACGTATTACAAAAACGCCTAAGCTTTATTATTTCTCATGTTCAAGAGTGTGTAGCCTGGGGCTTCAGTTTCAGTTGCATACTTCTTGCCCAATTTCTCCCCGGATCCTTTATCCTCCATCCCATATCCTTTATCCTTGACACTCGCTCGCTATCTAGAACGTCTGTCAGGGGCTAGTCGAGATTCAGATTCAGATTCAGACGCTTAACGAGCTGCACTTCGCGATGGGAAAAACTATTTTTCCGTTTGCTTTTTTTCTCCTCATCGCTGTGCTTATACCTTCTGTATGCTAAGTGAAATTTAATGCTGTGGAAAATTGTAAGATCTCAGTACTAATATTTATTTTCATATTTTTATGCTGAGCTGTGGATTGTGTGGGATTGAGTGGGTGGTTGGTTCGGGGATTCGCCTCTCTCGCTCTGTGTGCAATAATTTAATTTGCAATTTTCCATTGCTGACCAAAAATTTACACACACAACCGCGCGCACTTTTATTGCACCGAAAAACATACTAACATACTATATATGAAATTAGTTTTTCGGTTAGCTTCCATTGTTGTGAGAGAACGAGACCGAAAACGAGAACGAGAATTCGTGTCTGTGGGCAAAACTAAATTGCGAAATGATATTACCACAATATTATTACCAGTTTTTCATTGTTGCCAAACGTGGAGATTTTAGCCTCTCCAAAAAGAGAGGCTGGGCACGTGGAGAAGGCATAAAGTACACACAGTACACGGGCGGAAATGGTCAAATGATCGCGGCTTCGTCCATAGAAGGTTGCAAATTTAAACAAACAGGCGAGCGAACGTGTTTTCATGGGGGTTTTCGCTCAGTTTTTCGCCTGATGAAAAGCCCAGGAGATGCGAGGAGATGGCTAATGGCTAATGGCCCGTGGAAACGTGCCTGACTGCGCTGATTTGATTTTCCAGAATTTTCCAGGCATTTCTATGAACAAGAGCAGTCGATTTTTAGGTTCTTATAAGCAACACTCATAAATCAGAATTTTTGATTTTCATTTTCAACAAGTCGCCCCTTGAAAAAATCTAAAAAATCCAATGTTCCCACCACAAAATTTGAATTAACCCAACTCCTTTGCAAACTTCTTTTGCATGTTCATTAAAACTGGCTAGTGAAAATTGCAAAAATTGCAAGAAGCACGCTGCGTTTTACATTTTGCAAATGCATTACGTATACGCCGTGTATTCGCGATGCAATCACGCCGAAAATTCGTTTCCATATATTACACAAACACAGAAGCACACGAATACACATTGCGTGCTTATGTGTGTGTTTGTGAGCCCAAAGGGGGCGGTGGAGAGTGGGCAGTGGTGGGCGTGGCTCTTGAGCGAGAAAAAGGGGTAAGGGTAAAATGCTTTTGATTGTTTGGCCCTGCCAGTTATTTATATTTGTATTGACTGCATTTTTGGTTTATGTTGCAGAAGCTTTGGCGGTGGGTGGTTGGGTTGGGTTTTTGCCAAAGGGGCGGGGGTTTTCACCCCCACTCCCCCTTTTCTGTGGGCATTGCGGCAGCTCAATTTCGTTAGCCTCCTGCCCCTTCAACTCGCTGCCTTTCACTTTTTGTTCTTCTTTCGAGGGTGTGAGTATGTGTATATATTTTTTGTGGGCAAAAAAATGTTGCAAATTCCAATTTTTGTTGCCATTTGTGTTTGTTGCACTTCTCTTGCTCGTTTTGGGCCCGGTTTTTAACATTTTGCATTCCTGTTGTTGTTCCTGGTTTTTGGCAAATTGGTTTACAGGCCGAAAAATAGAGAGAGAGAACTATGGCTGCCGTCCTTAGGCTAGGAAAAGTGCGTGTTGTTTTTATTTTTATTGCTGTGATTGCTGGCAAAATATTTATTCCCCCTTTTTGCATCTGTTGTAGCATATTGTGATTCACATTCACATTCACTCGACCACTCTATCGACTAAATATGTATGTATATTTTCCCTTTCCGCTTTTTCCCTTGCATCATTGTTAACCAGGCGATTTTCGCACTTCCTACTTACACAAATGAAACACATGTCCTGAAAGGATAGGAGGAAACCAGAATTTAAAATACATAACAAAATATTTAAGTTACAAAGTCAAAAGTTTTAAATTCCTGGTGGAAAAATATTTCAGTAGAGAGCAGCGAAAGTTTAGTCACTTTGGTTTAAGGTATTATTTTCACTGATATAAAAATAATAATACAAAATATTAGACGGTAAATATTACTTATTTATTTTTATTTATTTAATGAGAGTCCAAAAAACTAAATATATTTTTTTCTTTCTTTGCATAGAAAGACAACGAAATCCCATGAGGATGTTTTGAATTTGGGGAAGGAGAACCTTGTATTTTAGCAAGTTAAAATTCTTGAAATTCCAGAATTACTCGTTCTGCGAGCTGTGGGAAAAGTAAGCCGCAGAATAAATAAACAGACAGACAGTCAGGAACAATGGCAAACGGGAAACGGAAAAAGGAAAACGGGGAAAATTGGGAACCGCAGCGAATTGGAAAAAGTCAAATGCGAGAGATGTAAATGTCCATAGATATATAGAAAATGTATATGTATGTGCATGTGAGGCGGTGGGTGTGTGGGAAAGCATCCAAATGACAAACATTTCAATTAAATTCCAATTTGAATAAATTCCTAGCAACCAAAACAAACTCCATCTTCCTTTTCCACTGCCTCCCTGCAAAGAGAATAGCAAAATAAAATAAAATAAAATAAAATAGAGGCGAAGGAAAAGGCGAATGGAACGTAACAAGCAGAAAATTACATCAGCGACTGTCCGAAAGTCGAACGAAAATGCCAAAAACATCAGATGGACAGCCGGGGGACCGGGATTCAGGGACAGGGACTCAAGGATCCCAGCAGACAGCCATAGAGAAACGCACCAGCATCAGAAACTAATTAAGAGAATTGCAATTGACAATTGAGAAGGGGAAGGGGAGAAAGGGGAAAGTCGCATAATGAGCTCCGGATTCGACTTGAGCCGCTGCAGCTGCACCCGCGAGCAAATCGGAGCGAAATCAGCGCTTTAGGAAATGGAAAACTGTTAATTTCCCCCTTTTCCGATGATCGACTATTGGATGCTTCACCTTGTGGGGCTTGCAAATCGCATAGAAAGGTGCTTAAAAGTATGCAGTAAAAAGAGGAAAGCCTCCTTGCGTCTTGTTAACTTTTTGTTGCATACTTTTAGGCATACTTTTAAGTGATTTGAAAATATCACCATTATTTGATTGAATAAAATCATAAATGTAGAGAAAATGCAGTACTTTATAAGTAAATTTAAGCGACATTCAATTGCTGCACAATATTTTATATTTTGAAATCATAAAATATTATTAATATTTTAAAGACAAAGCTCCCACATAGCTGATGTGCCCTATAAATACCAGGCATAAATACTATAAAAGCAAAAGCCACTGGAAGGCGGAGAGATGCCGAGAAGGCGAGACACAAACAGTCAGAGATAGAGGCCTTCTATCGACCTCAATTCACGGGCTCTGGCTTCAAATGAAATTGTAATTTTATACAAATCGCAGTGGCAATCGTTGGAGTCGGGACGGAAAACTTGCGGAAAAGTGGATGGGGGGAAAGGCGGGAAAATAGGGGGAGGGGCACCGCCGCCATACGTGCCTTGGCTCCATAGTACTGATGGCCCTTCCTCCTTTCTCCTTTCGCCTTTCTCCCCATCGTGAAACGTGACAAACGAAATCTCCTATTTCCTATTTCCACCTTTAATTCTGGAGGTGCCCCTGCAGCTTTCTCCGCCTCCTCCTCTGATGACCACAATTTGTAGTCATTGAGTGTGCCAAGGAGGCGACCTGAAGAACCAGAACCAGAACCAGATTTCTCACACAAGGAATTGGAAGAAATGGAGGAAAAATCCTTGGGCTGAGCAGAGAGAAAAAGCGAAGAGAAGACACGAAAACGAGCCACTTGTGTTGTTCACTTAAATAGTTGCAAGTTAATTAAGTTAAAATATGGCCAGGACTGCCAGGAGCTGAAGATGAAGATGGAGGAGATCGGAGGCAGAAGTGAGGGATGAACAAGAAGAAGAAGATGAAGAGTGTCTATTAAACGAAAGTGCACAACTCGAAAGACAAACTCGGATCCAGTTAGCCAGTTAGCGTCGCCGGCGAACTGGGCGTATGTGCGATGTCCTTGCCCGTCGACTGTCGACTAATAGCCCAAGCTGTCCTTAAGCAGTGAGTGTGTGGCCTGCATTAGACAAATCAGAAGGCGTGAACTAAAGATGATTGAAATGGAGAATGGAGGACAGAAGGACCTCAAGATGCAAGGAGCAAAGAGCAAACTTTTTATGTCCTCTTCAAGGACTTGTTTGATGACTGACTATTTTGTATTTCTTTTAATAATTATATTTGGCTATTTGTTCTATTTAAAAATATTTCTCCATTTATTTACTGTTAAAATCAATTTATGTTTCCGAAACTTTGAACTAAAAATATCAATTAAAAGACCAGCATTTTTTATTTATTTCAT